ATTTCAAATACTACTGTCAACCAAACTTAATTTACTCTTTTTATAAAGTCGGGAATAGGATCACTTCCAAGTGAACTGTAGTGTTTTTATATAGATTATATTTGATCTAATACCATAAAGCTAATCAAATTGCAAAAGATAGAATCTGACATGTCGTGATGTCGATTTGTGGTCTCCTCTTGTCTCCAGTGTGACCCAAAAAACCTATCACGGCGACATCAGCACGCCATACGGCGCGAGAGACAGTTCGACTGACTGCATCTATTTCAGGTTAGGACTCATAAGCTGACTGCTGGCCAGCGATTAAATCACAAGTGCACGAATTAACAGTTGGATGGAGCAGCTTTTCTAATTAAATGAGTTCATTGAAGTCCAAAGACAAACAGCAGCAGCTGCTGATACTGAGATCCAGCTGCCATATCCGTTTCCGTCGACTGACGGTTACAGCACAGCTACTGCTACAACAACATCAGTTATAGTTACAGTTACTGTTACAGTTACAGTTACAATTACAATTTCGCGGCGTTAAGCAATTCAATTAGGCAGGAGCAGAGGCAAATCAGCAGCGACGCCATCCAAAGAAGCCCCAACTGATGCGAACTTTTAATTACTGCGTGAAAAGGCAGAAACAATCGAGTTTGAGTTGATGATGCTTATAAATTGTGCAGCCAGCCCCTCGATGTCACCCGCCTCTGCTTTACGCCCAGCTGCAAAAAGCAGCGACCGGGCGCCGACAAAGCCAAGTCTTAAATCACAGCATGTTATTTCCGCTGCACGCGCCCCTGCGTGGGGCAGGCGTCTGGAGCAGGGGCGTGGCATGGCCCGAGCTGTGCCGGCGCGGCGCATTTAACGTTTCGTTTCCGGCGGAGGACAAGGACGCCAAGGACGATTATGTCGCCCGCGCACGGAGATCCCAATCGCCATTGCGAATTGTTTTTGTTGCCGTTTGTGTGTGTGTGTGTGTGTGAGTGTGTTTTTTGTTCCACTGCTGCTTCAGCTGCGATTGGCTTGTTTTGCCCTTTTGGGTTTTATCAGTGGCGGCTTTTATGTCATCATAACCGCAACGACTATAACAACGCACTGTGTCCACATCCCAGTCGCCGGACAGTCTTGCCCGGCCAGGCAAAGCAAGGCAAGGCGAGCGAGCCAGCGAATGTCCGTTTACATAAATTTCGCCGCGCAGCAAAGGAAAACTGTCGAGCGTGCAGAAAAATGAGATGACAAATGAAGTTTGTCGGCTAATGGCAGCGGAAATGCGAACGGGATGGGGACACCAGCGACCATTGGGACCACAGAGACGGAGGGAGCCCCGGCAAGGCGATGCTGCCGGAAGGTTCAGTAGGTAGCAGCTTACACTTTTTGCGGCGTGGCAATGAACGGAAGTTGAAACAAACAAGTAAATAAATGGCGCCAATTGGACGGCCACCCAAGCCCAAACCCAAACCCAAACCGGCCGTATCCTGCCCTGCCCAGCTCGCACTTGTTGTTTTAAAATCGCTTGGCTATGGCTATGGGATAAGGCGCAGGAATGGGATGCGATGGGGTGGGAATTTATTCGGTAATCTGAACTGAGTCAGCCAAAGCGGTTATTGCGAGTAAACACAATCCATTTTCGCGCAATGATTGGTGGCTGCTGCCTGAAGCCGATAATTAACAGCGAGCTGAAGAGCGTAGCTTAGGCAACATCATTAGCCGACATCACAGCCCTGCTGCTCCAGCCAGCATCCAGCAGGCAACAGTTACGGCCGTAATTCAATATTAAAAACCAATATCTTCAACTTGCACAACACTTGGCCACATAACGGGCAGCTTCGCCTAGCTGCATATCCTATGATAACACAGCACACACACACACACGTTGACACGGGTCCACACCCCTCAACCCGCCCATTGGGAGCTGGAAACATAAACAAGCAGAAAATCTAATCGCCAACTACGATCAAAGTGTCCAGTTTTGATATTAAGTTCAACATTAAATGTGAAACCAGCCAAGTGTTTGGGCGGCGAGTAGCCATTGCCCCGGGCCAAAGTCTCAGCTGAACACACATGCACACATAGGAACATGTACATGCATACGTTGCGTATACGTAATTTGAGGGGCGTCATGTGGTATAATGTGCCATCAGCTTTGGATATGTCGCTTCGCTTTGGCTGCGGGGCAGCCAAAGCATTTACCAAACACATAAAGTCAACTTTGTCGCCATAACTGTATCTGTATAACTGCATAGATGTGTGCGTGTGTGTGTGAGTGTGTCGCCCCTGGGCGTTGTAAATATTATTCTTATCTTACACTATAAATCTACATATGACAATTTTCGCACAGCTGCTGGCCAGCGGGCAGCTGTCCCATCGAGCAACCAGCCGAACCAGCATTTGCACACCTTAAAGCAGACGCCGATGCTGATTTCCCCTCACAAGTTATAATTTACTCAATTTTCCATCTGAAAGGGAGCCACAGAAATGGTATTGAAGAATGGGAGTATCTTGAAGACATAGAATGCTGAGTTGGGTAATCAAATAAGTAATTATCCGTTATTGATTTATTTCAAAGTTGTCCCCATGACGTTATGGCACCAAAAAGTTCAATTTGTCAGAATAGCTGCTGCGCGATTGAAAGCCATTTTTGAGCAGACTGACAACGGCAATGGGAAGAGAGTATAAGTGGGAATCTAAGCAAGGTATTACATAGTTTTGCTTTGAGAAGATGAGATAGATCGAGAGAGAAGGGAGACTATAAAGCTAGTAGAATTTTGTAAGTGTGGGCTTTAGGTAATAAATTAAGCACTCCATAAGCACTCCACATAAAACTTTAGAGTGAAATTGTAAATTGTTGACAGATGCTCACAGACAACAACAAAACAATTTAAACGGGCTAATTAAAGTTAATCAATCGAATTTAAATAAACAAGTAAGAAAGCTCTAGTCGAGACTGCCCGACTACGAGATCCCCTGAACCCTTCGAGCAACTGATATTTCATGCATATTCGCATATGCACACATACACGCACACACACAGGCATACGCACGCACGCATAAACACGGATTGGCTGCAGTGTTGGCTTACTATGGGAATTTAATTGTTTAATAACTTTTCTTGTGGATGGACTATATTTATGAAACTTTGAGATTATAAATATAACGTAGATATACATATTTGCCAAAGCACAAGTCCCTAGAATTTGAAATACGCCTTTTACAAATGTGAGGGTCAGGGGGTAAATTAGGGGTGAGGCGTAAATTTTTACAAAAACCGAAATTGTATAAAATGCATATACATATAATATTTGGAGACTCTAGCTTTAAAAATGTAAGAGATACAGACGTATGCGTGATGCGTGTTTAGGCGTGCGTGCGTATCTTTGTGTGTGTGTGTGTTTGTGTGTGATGTGCGTATGCTTGTGTGTGTATGCTTGTGTGTGTATGCGTATGTGTGTGTGTGTGTGTGTGTGTGTGTGTGTCTTGTGTAAGCAGAAAGGCGCGAAAAATGATTGAAACAGCTATTGCTCGAAGGGTTCAGGGGATCTCGTAGTCGACTAGTGCTTTCTTATTTGTCTTTTTATACCCAGAACCCATTTTCAATGGAAAATCAGGGTATAATGGTTTTGTTGAAATGTATGTAACAGGAGGCGTGGCAGACCCCATAAAGTATATATATTCTTGATCAGGACGACGAGCTGAATCGATATAGCACTGTCCGTTTGTCCATCCGTCCGTCTGTCTGTATGAGCAAAAGGATCTCAGAAGATATAAGAGCTAGAGAGCTGAAATTTGGCATGCATACTCGTGTATACCATAGGCAGTACAAGTTTATCATATTTTTTCGATAACTCATCCGATAACTTTTTTATCGAGAATAATCGAAAAATCGACATTGTTTTTTCAGCCTAATTTGAACACTTTTAGACCTGAAGACTTAAAATTTACGTTGTATACAAAGTTAATGGATACAAAGATTTTGTATTTTATTGATTTTTGATACTACGCCCCATTCGCCTACAATTTGGAAAAAACGCATTTCAAGTACTAGAAACTTGTGCTTTGGAATGTACACACATTTGAACATTATAATTATGTTCTGAAAGTTTCATTAAGATTGTACATCTAGAAATTAAGTTATTCAACAAATAAATTCGTATAATATTGCCCACATTGCAGCGCAGCCCAAGCGCAGTCGCTGCTTACTGCGCAGTTAGCAGAGTGCAAACTCGTACTGCGTATGGTACACACGAGTATGCATGCCAAATTTCAGCTCTCTAGCTCTTGTAACTTCTGAGATCGACGCACTCATACGGACGGACGGACGGGCAGACGGACAAGGCTATATCAACTCAGCTCGTCGTGCTGATCAAGAATATATATAGTTTGTGGGGTCTGCCACGCTTCCTTTTGCCCGTTACATACTTTTTCACAAAACCATTATACCCTGATTTCCCATTTTCAATGGGTTCAGGGTATAAAAATGCGCAATTTATTACAGTGATGGGTAAACAGAACTATTGGTGGAACTATCGACCACTATCGTCAGAGTGGAATAATCGATAGTAGACCGATAGTGCTCCACCATCAATAGTGACGATAGTGCCATCGATAGTTTGGCACCTCTAGTGTGTATGTATGTTAGTGAGTGAGTGTGCCTTTGTTGTCTCTTGTGTAAGTTTAAAAGCAGCTTAGAATTGTAGAAATCAGCTCGGGGGAATTTTTGGACGAGCAGTCTCGAATAGGGCTTTCTTTTACAGTTTGGCTGCTGTTAGGAACACTCATAAAATGCCTATACTTAAAACCCAGCCTAGGCGGGGATCGTCTAATACCCTTGTCTGGCGCACCCACCTAGAGCTGTCTTTATTGTTTTTATCTCTAACTGAAATAGTCATCTCGATTTCTGTTTTGATCGACCTATACGTACATACTGTAGTTTTCAATTCTCATCAATTGACGCCCCCGCGGATAGCATACTATTTTGTGCAGCTCTTGTCAAATTCGGTTAGCTCCGATAAGACCAATTTTATGGGTTCGAACTGGATAGGTAAAAACCAAATCCTACTACTTTGCTTTAATATCCCGAAAACTTATTTTGAATTTAAATACACTTTATATTTAAAAAAAAAAATCAGTTTTAGCCGATTGGTCTTCGGTCTAAGACTACGTAGTCTCCATCAGTGTTCTGAGCGACAACAAAGCTGCCTGATGCCAAGACACCAAGCACAGCAGCGAGAAGTATCTGTGGGTAAAAACAACAAAATAAGATTGTTACTTGTGCGACAGCAAACAAATATTCGTTCTTACCAATTTCATGTTGATTCTAGTTTTCGTTTAAAACGATGATAACGATCGGGCTTGGGCCTTCCATTTTATACCTTTCTGGAAGCATAGCTGCAACGAATTGAAATAGCTACGCGTATACGTATTATATGGATTTCACAAAATTAATTAGCTTGACAACTTGTCTGACACGACTAAAACGAAATATAATAGTTATTTGAACTGGAACTAAATCATAGTCGAATAGCGTATTGACTAAATTATTATTATTATTATTATATTATATATTAATAATAATTATATTATATATCTGTATATATATATATATATATATATATATATATATATGTCGTGTCAGTGCGATATTACACTGTTGAAATTGCAATTATATATCTTGATGTCGTGTTAATCGATTGATTTAGTATTGTGGTGCAATTAAAGGATGCACTGTCAGTAAGAGAGAGACAACAATAGCTGTTGCTGAACGTGGTCTCGGGTGTCGCTAGGTGAGAGCGAGACGGCTAGTCATGTCGTTCGCAGCAGGGTCGCTGTGCTTTCGATGAACAAGAATATGCGACCATGATTAGAAGTTTCGAGAGTGATAAAAAAAGTTTAGCGACACACCGGGAATTCGTTGTTACTCGCAGCTAAGATGGAAAACCAGAATGAGAAACGCAACGCCCCGACATATAAATATATATTCGGCATTAGTTAGTTGAATTTGTAAACAATTATAATATCTGTTTTACTTTTATTGAAGGCTCTGAGTATTACTAAATTCTTTATTATTCAGCTTCAAAAATGGCCAATATGTGCATGAGCTTGAATATATGTCCACAAAAAAAGTTATTAAACAATTAAGTTCTCATAGCCAACACTGGAGCCCATGCGTCTTTATGCGTGGGTGCTTGTGTGTGTGTGTATGTGTGTGTGTGTGTATGCGTTTGTGTGTGTATGCGTATGTGTGTGTGTGTGTGTGCGTATTTCTTGTGTAAGCTGAAAGACGCGAAAAATTATTGAAATAGCTATTGCGCCAAGGGTTCAGGGGATCTCGTAGTCGAGCAGTCTCGACTATACCTTTCTTACTTGTTTCTGCTTAGTTTTTATAACCTGAGTCCATTCAAAATCAAGTAAAAGCGTTGCAGTCGGGCATTACCAACTGCAGAATACTCATTCATATCCCATCAGCAATTCAGTAGCTAAGTTTAGCTCAAATACTGTAGAAAATACGTCCCTACTGTGCGTAGACACAGTCTGTCACTATATCTGCTGGTGTGTTTCTCAATCTGTTCCTCTACTGTATACAGTTTCCGATCTTGATGTAGGGTAGAGCCGCGACGTACCATGGGCAGTTTGTGATTGGTCGCAATACTCGATTTTGCAGGACCTGTATGCACACCGTTGAGCCAAATCAGGGCTACACAGTGGGCATAAGTCACTCTCTTAGCTCTCAGTGACTTTGTGATTCGTCTGTTAACCAGCCACCGCAGTTGTTGCATGCGTTGCCCACATCTCCTAGCCGCTGCTTTAAGATGTGGATAATGCTAGATAATGTTAGACACTTGTCAAGGGTGATGTCAAGGTACTTTGCCTGCGAAAGTTGATCCAGTGTTATGTCATCTAAACGTATAGGCGGGGTGTGTCCGATGAGGGTTTTCAGGGTGAAGCAAGGGTTGGTGGTCTTGCGTGAGTTAATCTTCAAGTTCAATTTTTTGCACCAAGCTGCTAGTGTATTTAGGTAGCTCTACACTCCATTTGCTGCCTCAGTGGGACATTTTGAGCTGTAGAGCACAGCTATGTCGTCTGCATAAGTAGCGAAAAGGGCTTTGCCAGGATTCGACATGTGGTGCACGCTAGGGGAGGGTAAGTCGGCCGTATATATGGAATAAAGCAGCGGCCCTAATACACTGCCCTGTGATATAATGTCCGTGTCCGTTTGCTTATAAGCAGAGATCTAGTAAGCCACAAAAGGTAGAGAACTGTTACATGTTAAACTATACCTATCATTTCCTTTTTATAACTTTAAGAACATCTCATCATATTTCTTTTCGATAACAATCGAAGTTCAATTCAATTCAATCCCTTCGCCCCACGGCAGCCTGCTGGCCAGAGGACTCCTCCTTGCCAGATCTCGATTAGTCCACAAAGGGGCTTGGAGCTTTAAAAACAATTATCCATCCATGTGTTGTAATTATGATGTCTATATTCTGCACTTGAAGGAAGAAACGGCTATACATATGCATGTCTATTTCTTTGCGATGTCTCTGGAATACCTGTGACTCGAGGCATCGTAGAATCGAATAGAAATGAGAGCTGACTTCACTGCAGTAGGCCAATTTCTGCTGCCAGGTGTATAGCAGAACATTCAGGCTGGGCTCCTTTGGCAAAAGCTGGTGCAGCAGGAGCAGCAGCGGCATCTATAGCGAAAAAAGGCCAGTCGTGCTGGCGGTAGCTGTTAAAGCCAACAAACCGCAACAAAAGCCACAAAACATGGCCAATCTGTGGAGTTCATAAAAGTGTCAACAACTTGGCCTCTGGCGAACGGCGCCTGATGCGGATGCGAATGTGAATGCGGATGTGGATGCGGATGCTGTTGCTGCGTTGACCGCTGATAACGCAGAGCGAAATGGCCCACAAGCCACGCTCACAAGCCACAAGGCTGGGCTTGCTCAGCTATTGCGTGTATTCGTTAGGGTCAAAGTTAAGTGGCAGTCATCCTGTCGCTGTCGCTGTCACTGGACCCTCCGCCAGTTGCTTTGTTTTTGATGCCCGCAACACCAAACGAGGCAATCAACGTGCAGCTGACGACCACCGCCCCCGCTCCCGCCCTCGCGCCCAGCCTCATCCGATGCCCGCTATCTTATCAGCCGCAGCTTCACTCGCTGGATACCTATTTGTTGTTCCACCTGCCTGTGTCTGTGCCCATGTGTGTCAGTGTGAGTGCGATTCCCCCCCTCCATGGCATAAAACTAAACATCGCTGCCGCCGCTGCCTTTATGATCCCACACTCTATTGTCTTCTGCATTTTGCGCTTTGCCTTGCGACATGTCCAGCTGCGCCCCCGTCTCATGTCTCTGCTGCCCCGCCCACTGCCGCCCACTGCCATCCACTGCCACCCACTGCTGCCTCTGATGTGTGGTTGTTGCAGCGCGCAACTGTGACCGAGCAGTGGACTGTTGTACACTTGGTATACCCTTCAAGATGGCATTTATTTTGAGTGCTCTTTAAGTAAGTCTTTTATTAAATCTTGAATCTATGCATTGTAACAAAATGTGGTTTGTATATACATATATCAATGCAAAATAGTATATTTTAATGTAAAGATCTAACTGTCTAATTAATTTAACATACTTACAGATTTATAGCTTTATATTTACTCTTTCGCAACTAAAATTGATTTCAGCCGAAAATGTTACTAGTTCTGTCATTTATTTCTTAAAATAAAATTTTTAATTTTGAAAAAATTTGTTCTTTTTAATACGGTTTAACAACTTCTTTTGAGAACATGCAAATAAAAGTTGTATTGCCTTAAATTAATATACGTATATTATGTGGTATAGTAGAGTCGGTTCATATGAAGACCTGAATATCCTAATAAAAATATATTCTAAATATAGTTTCATAGTTCCGCTAGGTTTATCAGCTCTAAATTTGTATATGAATTGACCTCTAATAAAAGGTCTCAAGTCTCATTTGCAATCTCTTTGCTCACTTTCTTTGCTTCTATAGAGTATTGAGGGTCGGACTAGAAATTGTTCTCCTTTTTTTTTATTTCTCCCCGTGTGTGTGTGTTTGGTCCTTTGCTATCAGCAATTGTATATCCTTTCGTGTGCCAGCGCAACATGTATCCAGTTTCCTGATTTATGCAATTCCATGCATGTGCCACATTTTTGCAAAACATGCCGCATACGGCATGCCAACTGTGGCAACTGCCCCGGTGGCTGCAAAACAGCCACAAAATCTGCCACAACGCCACAATTGTAACATGTGGCCATGACTTATGCGAGCTCTATGACAACTCTACGAATCTCGTATTCATGTTCCGAGAACCTTAAGTGCTAGACAGACCCTTTGATAAGCGTGGCCCGGGTCCAACTCCAACACACGTTTTTCGTTGTCCCCAACGACAGAGAGCAAATGCTTTTATTCCCACTACTTTTGTGTTATGATTCCCTGAAACTTTGTGCTTAAAATAGGGAAAACATTTAATTAGGCACTACAAACATAAAACTGCTAGTTCTAGACAGCTGTCAAGCTAGATAAAAATGGGATTCACAAAGACCGACTGGAAGACATACTGTAAACAGCTTAAATTATATATATGTCAAAGCACACAAAAGCAGTTTCCCTTAGCGCAGCGAGTTTCGGTGGCCGTCCACTTCTCAAACGATTCTGAATTCGTTTTCTCACCAATTTCTTGTGCCTACCACCGAAGTTCGGTTGCTCGATGGGTTCAGGGGATCTCGTGGTCGAGCAGTCGCAACTGGAGCTTTCTTACTTGTTTAGCATCTCTTAGATGCAATGTGGGTTTACTATGGGAGCTCATTTGTTTGATTTATTTTCTTGGGGATAAACTATCTTCAAAAATGTTATAATATGAAAGATGAAGGAAAATCATTTCAAGCCTCTAGCTCTTATATCGCTTGAGATGGACGCGTTCATCCATTCAGACATATGGACAGGGCTAAAGCGAATCAGCTCGTCGCGATCATGAATATATATTAGACGTCTGCATGAATGGCAAAAAAAGCACATTCAACTGTACAAAGTCATCATTGAATTGAGTGAAAACTTGTACAAAACGAAATGAGAATGAGTGAGCGACTGAAGTCGTGTTTCTCTCGGCTGCACAAAAATATACCCGAAAAGAAACGAAGCGAGTGAGTGAGCAGCAGAAGCTATTAAATGTTGTATATTGAATACATTCGAATATTGTCAGCTGTTTTCTGCTGTGCGTATCTGTTAAAAGAAAGAGGAAAAAATAAAGAAATATGTGTGCAATGTATTTTTTGTTGTGGAATTTTTAACTTATATATTTAACTTATATATTAAAAACATAATTTTATTAATTCTATCAGGGTTGGAAGCTATTGAACATTGCTTTTCTGTAATTAAATAATTAATTAATTAAATTAAATAAATATTAAATCTGCAAATATCAACACAGAAAACATATATAGACGGTCACAACTACACATTTTGTTAGTAAAACTAAAACACAAGCTTTAAACAAAACAAAACACGAAAACATCATGCTGGTATTTGCCGAAAAATACATACATTTTTTCCTGCAGGTTCCGCTTCCATTTCGCACGTCTGCTCACAATTTCTCAAAGCACAAAATGAATACACAAAATATTCTTCGAACTACTTGAGTAGTTCGAGTGTATTCGAAGTTTTCATTTCACTTTGCTCTTCTTTCGTTATACTCAGTCATTCGGCATGAGACACAACATGTTCGTCTTGCGAAACAGTAGTATACACATTCGTCTCATTCTGTCCTTTTCACTCACTCATATTCTACTCAATTCGAATGTACTCAATGTGGCTTTGTTATGAATGTAATCATGCAGACGTCTAATATATATACTTTGTGGGGTTTGTCTTCCTTTTGCCTGTCAGTGAAATGCTAGCAATATATCTTTAAACTCTATTGAATTTTTGCTCATCTTGAAAAAGTTCAAGCTCATGCGCATATTTGCCATTTTTGAAGCTGAATAATGAAGAATTTAGTAATATTCTGAGCCTTCAATAAAAGTACAACATATATTATAATTGTTTACAAATTCAACTAATAAACTAACTAATGCCGAATATATATATATATATATATATATATATATATATATAAAACATGATATATATAATATATATATAATAATAATTTAGTCAATACGTTATACGACATGATTTAGTTCCAGTTCAAATAACTATTATATTTCGTTTTAGTCGTGTCAGACAAGTTGTCAAGCTAATTAATTTTGTGAAATCCATATATTACGTATACGCGTAGCTATTTAAATTCGTTGCAGCTATGCGTTTTAAACGAAAACTAGAATCAACATGAAATTGGTAAGAACGAATATTTGTTTGCTGTCGAACAAGTAACAATCTTATTTTGTTGTTGTTACCCACAGATACTTCTCGCTGCTGTGCTCGGTGTCTTGGCATCAGGCAGCTTTGTTGTTGCTCAAAACAGTGATGGAGACGGCGGAGTCGGTAGAAAGCTGGATGGTATCTTAGATTGAAGATCAATCGGCTAAAGCTGATTTTTTAAATATAAAATGTATTTAAATTAAAATACCATTTTGAAAATAGACATGAACCTACATATTAACTAAAATTGGAGACTATCAATTTAAGAATGGCAAACCGCATAAGTTTATATCTCCTACAGTTTAAGAGCTACAAATTTAAATTTGGATAGTTGAGTTACTATCGATGACCCAAAAATAATTGTTACGCCTCTTTAGGAGCGTGACATATCGAAAAATATCCTGTAATTTTCACATCTTTTCAGCGGAAGCATTACATTTTGCAGTTAGGTTACCGTTAGCTCGTTCTAAGAACTGTCCAAAAATGAGGTGTCTACGCACAGTAGGGACGTATTTTCTACAGTAATTGAGCTAAACTTAGCTACTTAATTGCTGATGGGATATGAATGAGTATTCTGCAGTTGGTAATGCCCGACTGCAACGCGTTTACTTGATTTTGAATGGACTCAGGTTATAAAAACTAAGCAGAAAAAATTCTCAGAAATTCTATTTCTTCACAACTCCAGCGCCATCTAGCAAATCTAAGCTGAAGTAGCGGCTGTAAACTCACACGTAACTGAATCACAGTGCATGTTTCAATGAATGGGAAAAGTGCTTGACGCTGCTTATCACGAGCTTTAACTTTGTAATTTGTTTAATAACTTACGATCTGAGTATTCTATCAGAATACTGTTCGAATTTAGAACAATGCGGAGAAATTCACATATTAGCAGTAAAGATTATGATTTCTCAAAAAAGAGAATTGCAAATGATTAATGAATCAAATTTGTTTCCCAGGGAAAAAATCAACGAATTTTTGAGTTTTTAATCTACATACATATATTCTCTTAATATTTCAGTAAACACTAAATACAAGTAAAGTGCAACTTTTATTATTTTTTTATGTTCAAACATTTATAACATTTATATTGACTTCTTTATTTACACAGCACGGCTTTATTTATATTATAAGCTAAAATTTCAACGATTTTATTTGAAGCAAATTCCAGTACTGAATTTGAAATGTCATAATGTTTGCATTTATTTATTATTTAATTTACATAAGACTCTCATTAGGCTAAACAACCATAAAATATATTTGTTGCATATACATACATACATGGTTTATATTATGTGATTTCTAATTAAATATGGATATTAAGTAAGAGTTGTTAGTGCATCTGAAATAGTATTTCAGATTGAGCAAAACAGACCTTTAATTTTAAAATATATTTAAATACTGCATTATGGTTTTTCGATTTAACAGTTAAACACGATCAAGAAATCCGAGTTGCTGGAGCTCTCCCATTGCATCCGCAGAGGAAGCTGTGGAGCTGCAGAGCTGTGGCGCCCAAACAGCTTGTTCGGCCAGCCGCAAGGCCATTGCTCTAATGGTGTTCGGTCTGGCTCAGACAGCTGAGAAGCGGAGAATGCCCTGACATTGCCATGCCCAATCCCATTGCCATTCGCATTCCCTTTCTCCTTCCCGTTCTCGCTGTCAGCTGACAACGTTAACCCTTACGTGACGTTGTCAGCGACCACGACGCAAATACAGCTGCCACTCGAACAGGTGCTGGAGCTCGGTGGCAGCCGCAGTGGGCGAAGTGGGAGGGCGGGGATGCTGGCATCTGTGGATAGGAGATGCAGATGAGGCCTGGTGAGCTGCGGCCTCTCGGACAGAGTCTCACAAGTGGGCAATTGAGGCACATAATTGCCATCGTGATGGCTCATAAAAATGTCAATTTTCATAAATTCCCATGAAAATCGATGCGACATAAAAAAGAAGACAACAGAGAAGGCGAAGATGGAAAAATCCGCGCTATTCATTTGCTTGTTGAAGCGAAGCGCCGCAAAGCCTTCGCTGACATTTTCATTAGCCCGGCATTAGACACAAGCCCACTGTGAGTGCGAGTGCGACAGGAGGTGGGACATTTTCGATTCCTGCGCAGCGCATTTGCAATATTTTAATTAAAAAATATCTGCGGCTGTTCATTATGCGCCTGCATTGTGTGTGTGCATTTGGTTTGATAGCACATTAAGCCCCAACTCCATTCCATTCAGCTCGCATTCCGTGCTGCAACTAAGGCCGGCCTGACAGGCTGACAATTGTCACAGTTTGCAGCCGCACTTGAGGCGCAAGACAAGCCCGTTTTATTTTCCCTTTTCACTTTGCTACAGCGAGTCCTTGGGCTGGCGATTTGTCAGGCTTGAGAAATGACCGCATACAAAAAGACGCAATAACTTGGCCAACTGGCTGTTCAGTTTTAAATTAATTGTTTGCGCACAAATTGTATCTGAAATAGAAAACGCACACACTGCAGCTGCTACAAGTATATATATATATGTATATATGTGTGTGTATATGTGAGAGAGAGTGACTTGCAGCCCAAGCAACGCCCTTACATGACAGCAAGTGACAGGCCACATGGCGTATGCGTGCTGCCAGCTGTCGGCAGCTAATGGGATACAAAACAACTGCAAGTCGCAATGAAAGCTTCTCTCTCTCTCTCTCTCTCTCTCTCTCTCTCTTTCACTCCCTCCCTCATTCTGTATGCGTATGTGTGTTTGTATTTTAGGCAAACATAAATAATGAAACATACCACACTTGATTATAGCCCCAACGCAACGCATTGCGAAAAAAAGTAATTAAAATTTGTCAACATTTTTTTAGCACTCACTGTGTCTCTTAGAGTATTAGGCGCTTGCTTTTAAGCTACATTTGTGCGTGTGTGTGAGTGTGTGCGTGTGTGTGTGGTACAATACAAATAACGCGCATGTTCAACACCTAACCAAATAGCATATGAAAAGCCATTAAAATGCAAAACTGTCGCAACAACTGTGTGGGCGTGGCGTCAACCACAAATGCTTAATAATAATGTTTTTTAAATGCAAATATTTAAAAAGCAAACAAGCATTAAACATAATTGCAACACTGCCAGCTGTTGAAGCGGACATGAATGTTTCATTTGATTTTTCCACATTATTTGTCAGACACCCCAGTGGAAATATGTATGTACGATTATACATATATATATATATGTATTTATATGTGTATCCCTCTCTCTTTCTCCCTTTCATATATTTTTAGCCTATTTATACTGGTCATTAACAATAGTATATAAATCAAAGCAACAACAACATTCTCAGCTCTCTAGATATTTGAAATTTTCATATTTCTACCATCAAATGATGAATAATATTTGCGTATCTACAACAACACATAATGATATATAGAATAATAATATATAAGCCCTTATATTTCACATTTTTTATTGCCTTCTCTGTTTGCTTAAATACGTTTTCGCTGCTTGTGCTGGGGATTGCGATTACTGACATATCACTCGATGAACGACATTTGTAATACCCAGCATAGATAGTATTATTGGGTTTGTTGAAATCTATTATTTAGCTGGCAAATCGAAAAGAAAAACTAGTTAGCATCAAGTGGGTGCATGGGCGTGGCAATCGATTGTTGTCATCATATTTGTGCGATTTTCGGCTTATCATTATTTACATGGGCTGAGCTCGAAGCACTAATGGCTAAACTATTTTAATCCATTGTAAATATTTGCACAAATGCCAAACATAATGGCGGCAACAATGTGCCTACATATGTCTGTGTGTGTGGCTGCATGTGTGTGCGTGTCATTGTCTGCGCTGAAATGTGGGTCGCACAGCTTCATTAATATTTAGCGAGCACTGGGCCGAAGCAAATGTATGTAAATACTGACACACTTTAAGCGCCTCACATTCCGCCACAGCCGAAAAAAATCTTTTGCTGTGGGCTGAGCTCGGCATTGTGAGTACGAATATTCGATGGACCGCAAATAATTAATTCAATTTAAGAAATTACAAAGCCCAACATCCATTTGCCGCTAAATGCAATCAACTTCTTATTTGATTGCCATTTTTTGCCTTTCTGCATCGATTAGCAGCAAACGAGCAATTAACATTTGCGATAAAAACAATTTAGATTTGGCAAATCAAGAAACGACTTATGTCTTCTACAGTTTAAGAATAATTGAAATTTAAGTGATTGCATTTAAAGGCTTAAATCAATCGATTGTACTTTGGGACACAGTCTTCTTGGTGTCTATATATACAGTCGAGTCTCGATAATTTGTACCCAGCTAAACCAAAAATCGCGATAAATCTAAAAAAATTATATCGCCTTGAAAAAAATTCGTTCTCAATAATTCTCGATAAATTGATTTTCTGTGTAAATCGATAAAAAAAAACAAACTGATCCCCTTGCAAATACGAATTATCGGGACTTGACTTCTCGCCGTTGTCCTGCTCACTCGCTATAAAGATCTTCCTCGTCCAACAGCATTGAGCCAAGTGCCTTTTTTGCGTTCTTCTGTCAAACTCAGTATTTCTGATTGTATTCTTCTTGACTATCGAAATAATTGCAACCCTATACTCTCACTCAAAAGCAGCCGGGACTACGTTTAGCAACAGCTATAGTTCTCTCTCTCTCTTTCTCTCTCTCTCTCTCTCTCTCTCTCTCTCTCTCTCTCTCTCTCTCTCTCTCTCAAAGTGAAAATACATCCCTTATATTCTCTCTAATGCCACTACAGCAGGCAATCCCGACACAGTAACTTATACAATCATCATATTATCAAACCGAAAGACAGACATAACCTATAGAGGGAAATTAAATATTTAAAATCACATATACTAGCAATGTTTACAAGCTATTGTCCACTATTGTCAATCCAAATATGAGTACCAAAATTAATCCACTTTACTATTCATTTTCACAAACATTCTTAAATTATTTTAAAGCCTTTATGATTCATTTCTACTGTAAAATGAACAGTTTTTGTTGTATTTTCTAACATTTTATAAATTGTTGTCGAATCAAATATCAATTTGCAATTAAGTCGCCTTATTTTCAATTTATGTTCCTCTGCATGTGGGTGTGTTTGCATTTGTGTGGGTGTTAGCGCGTGCTGTAAGCCTAATTTAATTACAAATGCCATAAAATTGACCAGAAACTGGCTAAAAAAAAAAAAAAAAAAAAAAAAACAGAGGCCGTTCGATTCTTTTGGACAATAACTGTGAATTTTAATTAAATGCAAATAAG